AAATCCAACTATGTCGAACTAGAATATATTCACTTTTTTGTTTCATTCACCTATTACTATGACATTGTAGCAGCTACAAAATATCCTGTCTTAAATAGTAGTGATAATAAGGTATTAGTAGACAGTAGCATATTAGCTGAAATCAAGAAGCTATTCTGATAGTGAGTTAATATCGTAATGCAGGGCCGGATGCAGATTTTTAGGAATTTTTTAATAGTTATTTTATGGTAAGTTAAATGAAAGAAAGATAAAATAATAGCCTTACTTTAGTTATTTCTAGTACTTAAATTCATAGTGTCTACAGTATTTTATTACATCTATCAGTTCATGATCTGTTTGAATTTAAATTAATATTTACTCTCACCAGTAAATGAATATTTGTTTCGGATAGATTTTAACTTACATATTCTGTAGGTACGTCAAATCCAAAAATGTATCTCGGCCAACTTTTATGATGCCATTATTTAGTAGATTCCTTTATATTAAATATATAAATTATGTATACATCAGTTTCGCTATTAAACCCTTTAATCAATATAATCTGATATTGATAATTTTCTACTATATTGATAACTCGATCAATCACTAAATGCCTTACTTATAGTCTTTGCAGGTTATCGCGCGAAATTAGTTTTGGTAACGTAAATAATTTTATCAGTTACAAACGAGTTAGAATATCGTAATGGAATCAGAATACGATGAATAAAGTACTATTTGATATAGAAACTTGATGTAATCAGTAGATAAAATACGACAACTTTTAGTCAACGTTATTTTTACAGATAAAGTTTAACTTAAAGGCCCACCAGTAGGTCTTTCGTAAAGTAATTTTTACAGTACTTCACCTAAATGATGTGATTCTCGAGTTTACATTTATGACCTGGTACGTAAGCTCATTATAAATTTCCTAATTCTAAATCAATTTTCCCAAATTGGCATTCTTTAGATAAACTATTAAGATTATTTTGAAAGCTGTGTAACATTTTCACATGGAATAGATATAATTTAAAGGAATAGACTGAATTCCACATTAATTATAGCATTTTGGAGATGCTGACTCCCTTTAATACGCTATAGCAATCGCTTGTGGTTGGCTTAATTTTGTAAGAAAGCATAGATTTTAACTATTACATTACAAATAACTATACTGTGGATCAATTCTGGGATACCAATGTCAACTTAGAGATAATGAAGCAATAGTGAAATGACTGAATGCACTCGCTCCCATTTTATGATTTTGCCAAGCTATAACAGGCACCAGCACTTACAATTCTTGCAATTTAATTAAACCAGCAAACAACTGTCGATCGATAGTTTTGAGCTTGTTGTTGTCTAATTGCCTAAACCATTCGAATTTAATTATTTTTTATTTAGTACAGTGATAGGTTATAAGACTTATTCATTTCAATTTAAGATCCAGCTAATTTAAAACTTAGTTAATCTATTATCTCCTAAACTTAATGATTACTATAGCCCATGGCAATCTATTACTAAAAACTATCTTTATTTTAAAGCTAATTACTTAGATAAAATTAAAGTTTAACTTACAAAACGACCAGCTGATCCAATCCAATGAAAATGCCATCTGGTAAATTTGAAATAAGATTCAAAGAGAGATACCTAGAATGCATTTCATGATGTTATCAAAATAGTAATTGAGTTATCAAGAAAGCGTTAAGATACGTTGATATATATATAACTTTAACGCGTACAAAGCTAGATGATTTGTCAAAGATTATAGCTAGATAACATTAGCATACTTCTGCGTAATGACTTAAACTAATTGTAAAAGTAAAGTTGATGGCTGGAAGTGTAATAAACAGAAACAAAGTACTGTTTATAAAAAAGAACTATCATTCTCCTGCTAAAGTCGTATATCATAAAAAAAAGGATTATCTACATTGTAAATTATGTACAAGCTTGAGTATATAAATCCATATTATCTTAGTAAAGTGTTGAATCTAGCATGTACACTCTAACCCTAACCCTAACCCTGACCTCTGACCCTAACTACTATAGAATGGAAGCATTTATTGGTATTGTTTGTATAGAAGTGATTTGTGTGCAAATTTGTCTATGTGGTATTATCCGGTTTATCTTAGTTATTTTCAACTGTTGTTATGAGAAGAAGAATTTTGAAATCTTCTCCAATAGACGAACGTACGAATAAAAGTTAATATTCAAGGCTATTTTTGGGTATTTACTTTCATATATCAATTTATGGAATTACTCAATTTTCGTTAACTCAAATTTTGGGTTACGTAGGCGAACCAATAGTAATAGCCGGAGTCTATTACTAGGTCACTACAATTTGGCGCTGTGAGTAGAATATTTAAACAAGATAGCTAATTATTGATATAGTTTTATTTCTATAGGAATTTAGTAAAATATATTCCGGTGAAAAAATATGTAATATATCCAAGATTCGACTAGAATTAAACAATACCAAGAAACCACCTTAAAGCTGAGCTGAAAGCTTGAAAGTTTTATAGTAGGTAATGTTACGAATTGAACATAATATAATTGCATTTATAGAGCCGTACTTAATTATGTTCCCTTTACTATCGTATCATAACTTACGGTACTGACAATAATTTTAAGATTTGCTCACTTAAAGAATGATATTGATTCTCAGCTGTATACCCACTTTGCTACAATGGTAATAGGTAGTAAAGAAACAGGCTTATTACAATCTTTACTCACAAGTATTTTAAATTTGTTAGACCGCAAAAGCTACTGTTGGCCAATTTCTTGATGTGGTTGCCAGATAAATCCCTAGACACCATTACCATACTTTCAGTTAATAACAAGTTAATCAGTATAATTAAAAAGAAATTTCTTAGATTTTATCCATGAAGAGTTATAAGTTAAATAATAAATGGTCCGTTAATCCATCAATAAGTAATTATTAATGAATATCATCCTTACAAAGTCTCTAATCTTATCAAATCGCTTAGTGCAGTTCGTGATATATTCTCATCATATATTAAATTGTAGCTTAAATCCCTATATGCAAAGAGTATATTACAAAATTCGTTATGATTCAATTTAATCTAATGATATAACTTCATAAGAATAAAATCATTCATAAAATTGTAATAACAGGTATCTTAATTGTGGTAATTGATGAAAAGGTTTGCTCATAGTTTTTATTTCATTTCTGTTTAAGTTCCTGTGATGAAATAAGATACAAAATTAATAGATATCGAGCAATCTACAAAATAATTGAAGCATCCAACTGGATGAAAAGCATTGTTAGGGCTGGATTAAAATATTTAATAAATTTATTTTTTTATAGCCACTGTCACAAAACAGCTTTGCAACAAGATAACGTAATGTACGATCAATAAGTCAATTCCTTGAACTACGTGTCAAGAAACGATATCTGCACTATCACAAACACTTTTGCTCTACTAACAGAATACAGAAAGACTTAAACGCCTCGTATTTTACGTTAAACACTAAGTTTAAGAATCCACTTTATTACACGATATACTGCATTTATATACTCTTCCTCAATAGTTCATGAGTCATAGTTAGTACGATTAACTTTGGAATCATTCACTGAATTAGATATTAATTTTAGCTACTGCTCCCTTAATGCAGACAACATTATTTACGACCATAGACATCTGATGACTAATACAGAATAGTCAGATTACGATATGTCTTATCACGGAACATTTCCACGATAATTTACAATCTACCATAAGTAAGTTACAATCACAATGATTGGAACTGTAAGTAGATGATTCGCATTCCCTATTATAACTAGTAATTTCAGTATGTGTATATGCGTATAACGCATGTGTATATGTGTCACGGTCATAAAAAGTCAGCGCTATATTAAAACACAGAATATCCAAATTAAAAGTTAACTAAATAAGGATAAGCTAACAGAATTATTCTAACATAGATGTTTCTACTCTAATACAATATATAGCACTGCCACAGTCACTAAGATTAAATAACTACCGCAGGAATCAAGTTATACTAGTGATAAGACTGTAAATTTACGTCGTACGATATCTGATATCACTACATGATTATTGAAATTATTTAATTGATAGCACGAGTTTTTACAATTGTAAAACTAACCAGAAGCAGATTTCATTTTATAGCAGCAACAATAAAGATTCAATTCAATGTATAAATACACGATGGCCGAGATATCTCGAATCAAACAGTATATATTTACAGTATAAATACTGGTGTATTTGATAGGTAACTGATTGTAGATTTAACGCTTGAATTGCGTGAACCATTTTGATATTATCACTTGCAGCTGCTGCCAAATACTATATAAGCTTGATAGTCTGCAAGAGCAGGTCATTCATTATAATTTCAGTTAATGTAAAGGTAAAGGTATTTCGGCTACAGCGCGAATTAAATAATGGAGGAATAAGCAATTTTCAGACTTCTTAAAGTCAGAAATTTGTATATTGTACGTTATCCATGTTGCAGGGCTTATCTATAACTATATCAATTTATAAATCGTTCATTAACATAATTAAATACAGGGATAGTTGTATCGAGGTTAATCAATGCCTGGAAATAAGTTTATTATAAATTTTAAACCCGCTTAGTAAGTCTGTTTATAGTAGCATAAATCCGTATTTAAGTATATCAGTTTTTTAGAAATACTAACAATATTTTTAGGCTAGGTAAGTTGCTAAAGGCATTATCTTCTAATTTGACGATGAAATTTCGATTGAGATATCTAAAGATAAATTTAGAATATTAAATTATTTAAATATTCTAATTCATATTATTGGCGTAGTATCTACATGAAATCAGTACAGCCATAGTTGCTTTGGATGAGGACCTTTTAGAAAAATTTGTTAAATACGCGAAATTTGAACCTCTTTACTACTAATACTGTCTATGTGGGTATGCTATAGAACCTTTTCTTAGCGTTAAAATGTGACTCTAAATCTCAACTTTGATTTTAAGGGCGTGTAGAGAAAAATCCCAAGAAATTAGATCTCTAAAATGCTTACATCTTCTGCAAATTCGACAAATTCTGGAAAGCACCGCTTTGAATTACAGTTAGCCCATTATTTGCCATCTTACTGAGAAATTCGTGAATAAATATAAACAAATTAATAAACCAAGAATTCAGAGTGATCTATTTATAACCTTCATAATGTATCTTTTAACTAATTTAATCTATGTTTTGATATAATGTTGAAGTAATAAGCGATATAGGAGCAAAAAGTCTTAGCAGAACTGTTACAGGTAATTTTTTTTAAATTCAGCTAGTATTACTTTCAAGTAATAGTTTTATGCTTTTTACCATATTTTTGAGAAAATAAAATTGTGCTAACAATTTATACGTGTTGAAAAGCTATAAAGATTTCTGATAGCATTCGAAATCTCAGTCTCGCATACAGTTAATTTATCGTTTACAACATCGTTAAAAAATGACAAATTTAAGCCAAAAAAAATTTTCAATTAAGTTTGCCTTGCATTTTCTACTGGATGTATACTCACATAAATTTTAAATTTTGCATCCCATAGAATGTTTCGGACGTCATGGAAGAGATAGAATTGGCTTCTAAATTACTAAAATGCATATATTTTTACAATTTAGCATTCTCCTATAATAAAATGGATTTCAGCACTTAATCTACGTTAATTAAACATATTTTCTTTTGCTTAATATCATTGTTAATCGTCAATTATTTCATTAACTCCGAAGTCTTGATGACCATACTAATGCAAATTAAGACTGATTCAGAAACAGCGGTATTACATTATCCTTAGCGTTGAATTATTCTTCGTTTCTCTAAAATTTATAGCAATTTGACGATTGGAGGATATAATCCTTAATGAAAGATTTCGTATATTAGCCCTTATTACAGTATAATAAAGTTTAAATGAACTCTTAGGCAAAATGAGATCCAAATATTAATTGTAAAGGATACAAAATACAAGACCAAATTGATGTGTAGAATACAACACTATTTAAAAAGAAACTATAACTGCATGAATATTTATGATAAATGTATTCTTGGCTAGCAAATCTTACAGATGCAATAAATTTGGTAAAGATTCCAAGACTTGATTATGAATTTGTTCTATATGGTTCATTTTCAAATTTCTAAAAATACGTATCAAATAATATATTCATCCATTTAGCCTGATTGTATTTATGAAATGTTTGAAAGTTAACATAACCCCGATTAATTTAAGTGCAAAGTTTTCACTTAAAAGAAAGCACACTTATATTTGCTATTTATTAGATGATAATCTGAAAGAGCAAATATCTCGCCCATTTGAATTTGGATTCCTTTTTATATATCAAAAAAAATTCAAGAATACAACTATTTATGACCTATGCCTAGAACAGATTATCAATCGCACGTATATACAATAAGTTACAAGCGTAAATATTAGACCTAAAAGAGCTGACGTCAATTATAAGCTTTATTTAATATGAATAGGTTACGGTTTATAAGCTACTGAGAAATTCTGGATGATCAAACGTCTTAATAATATTTCTAAAAAGTCCTATTTCTGCTTTTCAAATTGCTTAGAGTACGTTAAAATGGCGCAGTTGAGTCTGCAAGGGCTCACTGGTACTTACTAAGATAAAGTAGTAATGAAGATCTTATTTAAAAAATCATGTTTTACTATTGATGCACCATAATGAGAGCAAGCTTCACTTCATTGATATTGTGAATAAAATTTATGTGCTATATCTCAACATTGGTATCACAAATCGGTAACATTACGCATACTGACTTATTTCATAATTTGCTTTTCCAGATGCAGGTGAGCTAGACTACGAATTGTGTTTGAAATCTTCAGCTTATACTTACATATATTTTAGATTTTCGAGCCCGTAAAAGGTATCAGAATCAATTTTTCTGACGTTATTGACTGCCATATTTCTAGCATGATAATTCATGAAATTAAACGTTTCGGTATAAGAGTATGTTATAAATATCATAAATTCTTGCACTTTCTTAAAATGTCATAATTAAATAATGAAATTGGAGCTATGGTTTAATATGTTCAAGTTGTAGCTTAAGCTGGCATATGATAGACTAAAACATTACTAAAGTTAAGTTATTATTACCACAATTGTTAGCTTCACTAACGAAACAGGAATCACTACAGAATTACGATTGAAAGCAGTTGCATTAAATATCTTTCGAGACCTTTCTCGAATCTAAACTAGAATTGCTGTGGTAGCAAGAATAGCTCAGTTACATAATTTTTAATTTCGTTTACTAACAGCCACAAGAGTATTTGTGTAAAATTTAATATTAATCAATAAAAATTGTATTGGCATAAACTTTTCCATAAAGCAGGGTTGACGCAGCTATGACTCTAGGGGTCTTAAAAATTTTAGATCTCCGTAAAATAGGGAGTCACAGTATTAAGAAACCATGAAGAGTGAAGCGTAAGTTTATTATGAGTATATAACTGTAGACTTATTATAGAATAGAAGAACACTATTTTTATTTTATGCGATTTTTAATTTATTAAGATAAAATTAGAAGGTTTCATAGCACTGTATTTCAACAAGAAACAACATTCTCAAGTTAATATTAATCATTGATGCTGAATTTTCTGTACTCTTACTTATTTTAGAGTTAAATCGAAGGATCTAAATTGACATAGCATAGACAAATTGGTTAAAACCACTTTCTAAAGTACGAGAAATTGTCTCATTGCAATATTATAATTTTAGAACCAGGGTAAATTCTCGAGAGCGCCATAGTGAGACATTTTTAATACATTGGAACTTCACAACGAAATAAGTTACTAAGATTCCAACTTCGAACACCAATACGTTATGCAGTTATATCGCAAGGCGACTTTCGTAGACTAATGCTTAGTGATTGTATTGCAGCCCCAAATATAGCTTAGATTACTATTTTAAGACTGTACGAGAATAACTTAACTTGTAAGCTAGAGTGTAAGATTGTGCAAGAATCTATTTGTAGAAGATGTTTACAGTACGTATTGTAGCGAATCTATTAAGATGTTTATATAAAGATCTGAGATATAAATAGATTTGCGCTAAGTATGTTAGTGTAATGTAACTTAGTATTGGGATTGTAGACTGTTAGCCATGTGTAGTATAATGTACGGTAGATATTTATCCTAAGAGATATTTGGTAGCTATAACTATAGACTGTAGTGGTAGAGACTCTATGCTAGAGTACAGATGACTATATACAGTAAGGTGTTGAGTTACTAATAAGGTTATAGGTAAAAATAGAACTGTAAATCATGTATTAGGATATGGTTAATTCATTGTACTTTGGCTGGTGTGAATAATGTCTACGTAAATACTGTAGTCGTATCCATATTGGATTAATGATGGTCCGCAGTAGAATAGTCTTACTAAGAATAATTTAACTATGTGTAAAATAAGGTAAAAGGTTGCCATGCGGATTGGATTGTAGCTGCGAATGCTACGAAAAGTATAAAAGCATGCAACTTTAGATTATTCTGTTAGTTCGTTGTAGAAGTCTTTAGTAGTAGTATTCGGCTAGAGTAGAGCTGTGTGTAGTTGATCTTTGTATAAGATTCAATAAAGCTCTTATTTTTCTAAAATTTGGAAATTTCGTGATTGGTATATATCACAGTTAGTACTGTAAATATTGTATTGTAATGCTTTAAATAGACGTGCGAATTATGAATAGATTGCGCGATAGTAAATTTAGATCTGATCTTGCGACTTAATGGGCAAGATAAGATTTGTTACAGTAAAAGCATTCTGTAACTAATCGTATATAAATCGTGAATTTTGCTGTAATAAGTAGATTGTCAGATAGTCAGATAGTCCTTGGTAGTTAGACGAACCTAACTTCTGTAATAAAGTGAAATTTACAAGAAACTGTAGTTCTTGATTTATTGTTTTGAAGATCACTTTATCACAGTGATAAAGTGTCTAATCTAAATTCAAAAAAATGAAACCTCTGTGTCTTAGGAAAATAATTTACTCAATTCACTTTATCACATGCTTATTTTTTGTTTAAGTGCATAGATTGATATCCATAATAATACCATATCTACTACGTTACATATATCTTTTTATGAAATTGTCCATATATTGAAAATTAATTGATGTCGAGATAGATTTACTATCAGTAGGCCAGTTTTCCGATGAAGTTTGAGCTTAGTTTTGTCTGAGAGAGCCTAGCTATTTATTGTGACGATCAGCAGATTGTTAATATTTAGAGTTGTACTAAAATTCTTTTAGTATTAATTGACCACTACAGTTGTCTAGAAACTTTTAGAGGAAGCGTGATTACTATTCATTAAATTGCCTAGCGACTACGTAGTGCATTAGTTTTATAATACTGATAAACATCTAGCAGTATTACAACAATAGTGATAGAATAGAAATAACATTTCATCTGGCGTTACTTTCGAGTGTACCTTTAGACAACAACTTAGGATATCACCGTGGACGTAAAAATGTGTTCTGTTAACTTACAAATGTCTTAATTTTTTCAAGGATATAAAGGTATTCTCAAGGATGAGATGGATTCTGTTATGACTTATATTCCTAAAATCAGATTATCAATTCATTAAGAGTTAATTATGCATTTATAATTTGTTTAATGAAATGCAGATGTTGCAAAACAAGCTCAAATGTAATAATTTTGAATTATTATTGCTAAGTATTTTACGTACAAAACTTGCAAATTTATCAAATTTGCAAAATTCTCAGGACGGAGTTGCACGATACGGTTATGCGATAATCCTCTGCAATGAAATACACCTGCTATTAAATTCCTCATTATAATTATGGATATTATTATAAGTCGATATCATGAGTATGCGTTTGTTTCTATGTCTACAAAATGATGCTTATTAAAATTATTACAAGACTCTTTTTAAGGTAATCGCAATCGTCTTATTGAAAATACCTTAGAATTTTAAAGTAAATTTCTTAATTTAATTTAATTCTCATACTATTACTATTATAAACTAATTATATTGTTAATATTTCTAAATAGTTACGCTAGAAATATGAAAAATTAGCAGCCGCAGTCAGTCGGTGACACTTTTTTATGAGGAGTGAATGTATTCCTGTTAGACAGTTATTTGCGACTTAGCCATTAGTTTCCTTATTATGAATGACCGTGCTTGAAATACATCTTCAGTATTTGAGACAATAACATTGCAAATTGTCGTCATTCCAAAATACAACTATAAATTTCTACAACTTACCAACCAAAATTAAAATTTTTGATAAAATTATAAAATAATTACGTACAATGTTGTCAGATTAGGTAAATAATGAAACGTTTTAATTCCAATATCGACCAAGCGTTCATATTCATAAACACTAAATAATATAAAAAAATTTAATCCAAATATCAGTAACGGATTTGCAATAGCAATGTAAAAATTCTCACAACCAGATAAGTAAATCAACATTTTAGTATTATCAAAGTTTGTCATTACTATAGTCTGCACGTCAGACAATTTCCAGCTTTGCTAAACTATTGATGAAGCAAAACTACTTACAATATTTTCAGAGATCCTAACTGATTGCAAAATAAGTTGCGAAAATTGACAGGAGAATCTTTGAACTTATTAGCCTTTATAACTCTGTGAAAATTTATTTACCGGATTATTAATTTTAGTTACGCAATTTGAGTATGCAAGTTGTCTAATCAAGTTTTTTACTTCAATAACACTTTAACTTGTCATAATTCAAGCCATAACGTGAGCAAAGAACTTAAAGCTATGTAATGAAAACCTTAACTAGCACAAATTTATACCCTAATAAATAGGTAGATGTACTGAAGATATCAACTCGTATATAATCTACACTTGGCAAGTGTGATAAATACCAATCACGAAATTCCAAATTTTAGAAAAATAAAGGCTTCATTGAATCTTATACAAAGATCAACTACACACAGCTCTACTCTAGCCGAATACTACTACTAAAGACTTCTAGAACGAACTAACAGAATAATCTAAAGTTGCATGCTTTTATACTTTCCGTAGCATTCGCAGCTACAATCCGCATGGCAACATTTTACCTTGTTGTATAAATAGTTAAATTATTCTTAGTAAGACTATTCTACTGCGGATCATCATTAATCCAATATGGATACAACTACAGTATTTACGTAGACATTATTCACACCAGCCAAAGTATAATGAATTAAGCATATCCTAATATATGATTTACAGTTCTATTTTTACCTATAACCTTATTAGTAACTCAACACCTTACTGTATATAGTCATCTGTACTCTAGCATAGAGTCTCTACCACTACAGTCTATAGTTATAGTTACCAAATATCTCTTAGGATAAATATCTACCGTACATTATACTAAACATGGCTAACAGTCTACAATCACATTACTAAGTTACATTACAGTAAGTGAAAATAGGTCCCCGAAAAAACAGAAGCGAATATAACCTAAGGTATCCTTATTTGTCATCATTACTTAATATTTTATTTTCGATCAATATTTTTCCAAATTTTAGCACAAACTAGCTTAAAATTACAAGTGTGGCAAAATTGAATGCGAATATTAAAATCGAAGCTCCTACTAGAATTCGATTAAAATTTACTAATACTTATTTTGCATTATTTTACAAATAACGTTGACATTATGATACAGAGAATGTATACTCATACTCACAGTCCCTTCAGTGAATCTAGCGCCGTTACAACGTCCACTATTTCATCGAATTTGAGAAAATTTTGAATAAAGCTCCTGCACGAAATTGATTACTTTTATAATAACCATAATTTTTCACACTAGTAGTTATATTCATTGACAAGGAATAATTATGGTCATAAAAACTGTATAGGTTTCACTTTCATGGTTATGCGAAAGATTTTAGGCATGGAGTTTTCTTTGTAAAAGTATAAAGATTATTCGCATTCGAAAAAATTTGTACAACTACC